AGAAACCCAGGGAACCCGTCCCAGTTCTCATAACTCTAAACCTTCCACTCTTATTTTGAGGGACATAGTTAGGTGTGTTAATCTGAAGTCAGGCAGAAAGGCATAAGAAGCATAGCAGAAGGCATAACTTGTTCAGAAAGGCATAAAAAGTATAGCATCTGATGAAGTAGCTGTTGCCTATGAAAGCTCATGACTCTCTGAACAAGATAATCTCTAAAATGCCCTTCTACCCTGCCTTTTCTAAAAATTGGTAATCAAATCAATGTACACTATGTTCCTAAATTGCCCCTGGACAAGTAGATCAGACAGGTATTGTCCTTAACCAGTTTCACAAAGCCTCACAGTCTAGTGAGTTACATCTTTAAATAAATTACAACAAAAGTTTGAAAACTTAATTTACTGGAACTGTGTTCATGCCTTTTTGTGCGTGTTTTATGGGTGCAATTTATGTCTATACAGAGATCCAGTAATGGCCTATCCTCCACTGAAATCCCACTAACACCCCAAGGACATAAAGCAATAGTCGAGTAAATGAGATTTCTGATAGCAAAGTTCACTGAGACAGTGAATTTTAAACAGATTCTTCAGAATATTTGCAGAATATGAATATTGAACCCAGAAGTGTAAGCATTCATATCTGAAATCCCATTCCAAGGATTACTTTAATCCAGTCAGAGAATAGTTATTATACCATGTGACCTTATGCCCATTCAAAACAACTTGAATATCATATTTTAAATGAATATCTGAACTAAAAAAAATTCAGCCCAAGAATTCTTTGCTGAAGTGATTCAAGAAATAATAGAGAACATGCTTGAGAAAATCATGATTTATTCACAGAAATTTCACAACTAGAAGAGGTGAAATTCACTGAATAATTATTCATTAAAATAATTTGCCCAGCTCCTTACCTATTAAAGAGTGATTGTCATAGCATGATATTTGCAGAGACGTGTCTTTTTTTACCTTGACTACGATTCAGATGGATGAGCTACAATTACACTCCATGCTAGTGTAGCTTATCAAATTAGGAGAATGCATTTTTAAATTCAATTACATCCTCAATGGAAATGGTTTCTCTGACTCTGGTAATCTTTGGAGAGGAATTATATGCAGTCTATAAAGCTTCACATTTCAAAACCTAATTTTAAATGTTATTCCAGAGGTTAATTTAAGATCCATCTTCCAAAAGGGAAGTTAAATAAAACTGATAGAAGGTTGGAATTTGTTGAGTGTCTGAGAGGTTTATCAGCATGTGAGTATGAGTTCATTAGTTTTAATTAGTATAATCACTAATGTTGCATTAACAGTTTGGTGAGTGAAAGTAATTGCTCACACCCACTGTATTAGATTGGGAGATTAGAATTCATTTTATGAAGCAATTAGCATTTCAGAGATTTAAAAAAAAGGCATTTTACGATCTGCCATCACGGTAACCTGCTTCACCAAAAGATAGTTTAAATTAACCACAACTTTCATCTTAATAGGACGCAGGAATTAATGCAGAATTAAGTGTGAACCTGTCATCTCCAGCAATCCCTCCATGATAAGCAGGCAGTTAAAGGCACAAACCCTGATTAGTTTATAATGACCTGTTTTATTTTCCACACAACACCAGTCATTTATCAGTCTTGATTTCAGTGTTTTGTAGCAAGGTCTATAGTCTTCAATTTTATACAACAAAATAAATAAAAATGCAAAAGGAAAAAATAGAACAGATCATAGTAGTTTGGAGAAATAATTATCTAAAGCAAGCACTATGTTTCAATAGCAATGTTTAAATGGTCCATTATTCTTTCCCTCAAATATCAGGGAGAGAATAAACAGGGTCTTGGTGAACAGCATGTATTACAGAGTAGTGCACTACTCCCTATCCACTACACTTCTGCTGGTTACTTATGAAAATTAGACAATTGCCTGGAAAGCCTGAACTCTACAGTCACACCTGTGGTGTTAACATGGATCATTTAAGAAGTGGAAGGATTTATCTGAGTGGAAACCCACCAACATATCTTGGGTGACAAATTTCAAACCATGTGGAAATAATTGTTAAAGCCAGAATATAGAGTTTTTCCTCTCATGGTTCTGTATTTGCAGTGTTATCAATGGGTATCCATAGAAAAACAGTAAGGCACAAGACTTATAACTGATACAGCTAGCACGTCATCACTAAAATAGTTTATATCAGACTAAACTTCTATAAAATAGAAAGAGATTTCAGTCCAGGACGTGTGGCAAGAAAGTAGAGTTAGGCTTCAGATTTTGATATTCTCAAGCAAGCTGAAAGGATGTATCTACAACAGTGTTTCTCAACATTTTTAGATTCAAGACACCCTTTGTTAGACTCAAAACACCCCTCAGAAAATGCTAGCTTTTACTTTTTACTTGCTTTTGACAAGAGAAAAATAATAGAGCAATTTTTCTGTTACAAAGAACTCAGAAAGATCACAATGGGCCAGAATGTTTTAATACTATGGATTCCTATTTGAAATCTCTAGGCTTATTTTATGAATCATGTTTGCATACCTACCAGTGTTAACATTGTGTTGCACCTCACAGCACCCCTGAAAGGATCTCAAGGCACTCCAGAGGGCCATGGCTCCCTGGATGAGAATCACTGTTCTATGTAGCCCACCCTCTAGCCTAAATCTGCTCATGACCGTCTACATTATAAACAACCCTAAAGTTACCCTGCCATGGCAGTCTAGTGGCTATCCTAACCCTGGAAGCTGTCCTGAACTCCAGGACCTGACATTAGGTCTGCTCCTCACCTGCCTCTTGTTGCCATATGTTCAGCCAACACTCAGGTGCAAAAAACTGCAAACACAGGAAAACTGCCATCATCAGTCCCACTAACCTGTGTCTATACCTGACTTCAAGCCCCTTCTTGTTCCAGCTCCTCTCTATTGCCTCATAATTAGAGCCAAGTTAAAAACAAGAAACTTCCCAATCCTCAGGCTTCCCAATCTTCTATAGATCAGTCTGGCCATAACTTGTCTCTCCTTCTGGGTTTGGCATGCAAACTCAGCAAGCTAATATTAGACAGGGAAGGCAGCTTACGTGGCTTAAGCTAGTTGATGGGAACCCTGAAGTTTGCTCCTAAAGAGCAATGTAGAGATACCCTCTCCCTCCTTCCGATGCTAGAATTCTATGCAAAAATGCCTAAACAATCCTGACAGCAGAGACTAAAACTTAGGACACCCCCCCACACACACACACCCTGAGGTCCTGAAGCAATGTGCTGCAGAATCATGCTACCTCTTGTTTGCTCCCTGGACTGTTTATATATTTTACATCACATAGTCATCAGATAAAATGTTTAACTAGCAATGGGAGGCAAAGACTAAAATCTGAGGCTCCCTGTCTCTAAGGCATTGCCCACCTCATTGGGCCACAGAGTCACAATTCCCATTGCTAGCTGTCCCTTTGGCTCCTTGAAACTTTTGCTCTTTCCTGTCCAGGGGTCAGTCTGCCATGGGAGTGGTGGAGAGTTCCCTCAGCCTCGCATAACATATGTCTGGTGCTTCTGGTGGTGTCCTGAGAAGCAGGAGGTGTAGGTTCAGACTCCATCAAAGTGCAAAGTGGCCTACAATCCATGTCTCCTACTTTTTGAGCAAGTGACTTAGCCATTCAGCGATTGGGCAAAAGGTGGGCACCACCCTCATGGCAAACAGTCACTGTGCCTCCTTTTCTGCTCTAGCAGTTGGGGACCTGAACAAAGTTTATTCACTTTTCCAAACCAAGTTGGAGTAGAAGAAAATGTAAGCAGCGTTATTCAACTATGTGGCCATAGTGGAACGCATCTGAACATGTGCAGTAGGACAAGTCCAGTTATTTGGGGAACTGTATAAAGCTTTTGCGTCTAAGGCAGAGATACCTACAGGGCCCACAAATAATCTGGGAGTCTGACAAAATTCTGTCTGCTGAACAGCGTGAAATTAGATCCCATTTGGTGATTTACACACTGAAGAACCATCTACATGGCATTTAGGTGCATTAGAGGAACATATGATGGGGGGTGGCAAGGTTGGACATAATCATAAGTCTCCAAGAGCCAGGGTTTTATGCATAGCTGTGTATTGCCTAAGCCTTAAAGCTTGTCTACCTCTGATGTCATTCTAGAATAGCCAGGAAAACTATTCCAAAAGTAACATCATGTGTTACTGTGAAATATAATAGTGCTTTTTGTTTCTCTTCAGCTTAGTCCACTGTCAAAGTAGATTAAGATAAACAGAAGCAAGACACTCTTATTCCTGAAGAAAAAAGTCCACACATGGAATAATTCAGGAAGACTTATTGCACTTTAAATGAGCACCTTACCTTAATCTGAATTAACTTTCAAATGTAAAGGTTCTCTAAATCTGCCATCTATCCACCTTTGAAAATCTTTTGAGATTTATGGATGAGAAGGCATGATTTAAACACAAACTATTTTTATGCACAGAGAAAAATAATGAGGGCATCATACACACTAAAAATTGATTTTTGGTTCACAAATTATGGGTGTTATAAAACACGTTATTTCGGGGGGGTGAAATGTGTCCAGATTTGCCAGAGTGTATTTCATTAAATGATAAGAAAGCTATAAATATTTCATTTTCTTGTTCTCAGCTCTAAGAGCATAACTGCATAAAATGTCCATGCTGTTCTTCGGTTGTTTCTGATTTGGTTTTAGGAAAATGCAGATCTTTTTCTTCTTGAACTAATGAAATGACTCTTTAAACTCATCCATCACTTTCATTTAAGGTGATTTATGATGGCTCAACTAGTTATTATCTCTTCTCCTCCAGAACAAGGCAGCCCCTTTTACTGAACAAGTTCAGATCTTGCTCTCTGCAGATCAGTCCACAAGGGTGCTGAGTTCCTTTAGCTTCTGCTGACATCAGTGGGAGTTACAGGAGCTCAATAACTTTCAGGACCAGGTCCTATAGATCTGTCTCAGTTTATTGTCCAGAGTGGTTTCCCCAGAGTCCCTCATGGTTTTTCTCTTCTTCTTGCAGCATGCATCAAACAGGTGTGCAATTGCTCAGACCTCCACGGAGCAAAGCAGTCTTCATCCCCACCATCCCCATGAGGCAGTGCATGATCCACAGCTGATTCCCTGCACCTGCCCTCTGTTTTCTTGCCAGTGGGAAGGCCATTTGGAAGTAGTGGTCTCACATCTGAGACAGACTCATAGCATCAACATCCTTCATGGGGCAGAGATTGTTTTCCTGGCTACGGACATGCATCTCCCTGCACCAACGGATTGGATAATCATTCATTCTTGCCTGGGCCACCAATTTTTGCTGGTGCTCAGGAAGCAGGAGAAATATGAAGGCCACCCTCAGTTCTTTGCCACCATGATGCTGATTGGCACCCCAGCTCAAGCGGATAACTTTACCTACAGGCTTGAGCTCAATAGAAACCAGAGGCGTCTGAAATGGGAAGCTACCCCGAGATCAGTACTGGAGTGCATTGACTCTGTCATATCAGACGGTGATTGCCTTGTTCTTAACACCTCATTGGCTCAGCTCTTTTCTGATAATGGAAGCCTGGCAATAGGAATTGCAATAACTTCAAGCAAAGTTCACACTGCTGAGGTGGAAATGTGAAGAAGCGGGGAAAAAATAGCAAAAGAATAATGGTACCCTCCTGCAGCTTGTGAGAGCCAGAACTCATGGACTTCTTTTGGGGGTCTCAGGTTTTTTGTGGTATTTAGTATTGTCCACAGTGGGCATTCTGTAAACTTCCTGTGATTCCAGTCTCCCTGTGATGTATTCGCTGTTTTTGTTAATACAATTTTATGAGAGATTTTAAAGATCATAAGTTATTGGCTCCATCAAAATAATGCCACAGAGTCTTTCAAGTAGACGCTGTCTTTATGGAAAAGGCAATCCAAGGGACCCAGTGAATCCTTGGTTTGGATAGACTAGAAAAAATCATTTATTTTATTGTTTATCTAGTTCCTGGGTACTAAGTAGGCCTCTGTGACTGATAGTAAGGTAAAATAACCTAGCTGAAGCAGAGGCCAACTGTGGTCCTTGTTCATTAGCAACTTCACAGGAATCAGCAGACTGCAATTAATTTGCCTAAAATGAAACAGATTGCAGCTGCTCTCGGCTTTTTACTACTGAGGCACAACCCAAGGAGACAGTAAGTTCCAGCATACAACTCCCCATCTGACCTAAGCAGATGGTCCCTGCAGAGCACTGTATCCTGTGACCCATCACCTCTGGAAACCACAACCATAGGCAGAAATGAGAATCAGAGACTGAATATTAAACTGCAGATTGTGTTTATCCCACGGTTATGATTACTGCTATAATTTTAATCATAGTCACTATTATTGTTATTTTATTATTTTATAATAGCAATAATAATAATGATAATATTTTAATAATAATGATTATGTAGCATTTATATAGTGGTAGAAACCACTGGGCACCACCAGAAATAATGCTTTAATAATAATAATAACTATCTAATATTTATACAGTGGTAGACTGCAGGCCACCACCACACTGAGCTCCACTGTATGAAGTACAAACTGACAATAAATGACAACCCCTGCCCCAAAAACCTTCCAGCGTAAAGCACATTCTGTGGCCATTCATGATTTAAAACCAACACTGATGATCCACTCATCTCTCAACAGCTCCTTCCCCTAGAGAAACACTCACTATCTCCACACGTATCACTGATTCAGGGCCTGGAAAACCTAAGGAGGTATCAGCACCTGGCTGGACATTATAATGAACCAAATTCAATATCTTTCTTATCACTGTATGGAGTGACTGGCTTGCCAAATGCAAGCCAACTTGAGGTATCCAGGCTGCATCTTCATGTGCAATTAATGCACCTGAATTTTTCTGTGCAGAAAATTCAAGTTTGTTAAAGCTCTCCCCCAGTTCCTGCCCTGTTCCTGCCCTGCTCTGCCTCCCTGCAGCCACCAGGGGGCTCCCCTGGATGCCAGCCCTGGGCTGGCAGGGGGCACAGGGGCTTAGCTCAGAGCTCTGGAGGGCAGGGAGCTCTGCCCCAGCTGGGGAAGACTGAGCTGGCCCTAATGGGCAGGGTTGGGAGGGAGCTGTCCCAGCTACCAGCAGCTGCCTACCAGCTATGTAGAGATCGAGATGGGTCCCAGTCTCCACATGGCTGGCAGGCAATGTCCTGCTAAGCCAGGACAGCTCTCCTTGCCCCCTGTGGCCCCCTGCTGCCTAGGCAATTTGTTCTCGGTCAGGTTCTATACATGCAGTATGGTGCATTAGTTAATGCACTGTTTTTCTAGTACCTGTATTTACAAGTACTGGAAAATGGCGCATTAAACTAATACACTGTGCAGTAATTGTGCACACATAGACAGTGATGCTTTACTGTGCATTAAATTAATCTAATGCACTCTAAAGGATCTCATGTAGATGTGCCCCCTTAATCTGTAATTAGGGATTTAATATTTTTAGCATTTATTTTCTCAAAAATTCAGATGGTAATTTTCAGAAAATAAATATAAAGTCTCAAAAAATGTCCAAGTTTTGTATTTTAGCTTGAGTTTGCTGTTGTATCCTGGACTGCCCCTTTATTTCACACCTTTAAAAATGGCAGCTGGAATATCTACTTGCAATAGGTAGGGACAAGCTTGAGGTGGCTGTTGGCTGATTTCATGGGCAAAAGATGGGTCTGGCACCCATTTCCCCTAGCAGAGTACAATGCCCTGATGCTTCTGATTGGCCAAATGGCCCCAGTGGCCCCATTTCTCACTGCTGATTGGCTGTGAAGGCTGTCTGTCATATGACCCTGCCCCTCACTGCTGATTGACTGTGAGGGATTTTCATCATGCAGCCCCACCCCTCATCACTGATTGGTGGGAAGGGCTGGGGCCATCTAATGAACAGCCCCAGTAGCCAATCATCGGTGAGAAGCAGAGGCGGCTGCCATCTTGGGCTGCCCATTGTGCGAGCAGTCCCCCTTCTCCCTGGAAGGCTGTGCATCCAGACAGCAGCATGGTGAGGATGGCTGGCTCCCTCTGGGAGCCAGCATTTTATTTTCAGTATTTTAAAATCTTTTTTCCATGGATTTTGCAGATTTCGTGGGCAATGCCAGATTTCACAAAATCTGTGAAATCACAAGTTTGGTCCCTAGCAATAGGGAATCCTAGCTTGAAATTCCTCTCCTTTAAAAAAAACAAAACAACCTTTAACATTTTTTTTTTCAATCTTGCCTTTTGGGTGTCCCCTTCCCATACGCACACACACACCCCGCCAAAAGTATTTGTTGGTTCACAGGACATCAAATGGAGGAGGATGGTAAAAACATGTGGACCTTTTAATAAGGGCTTTTACATCTGGTCAGGCACTTCATGTTGATATTTGACCATAAACAAGTCAGGATCAGTTCTCTGAGTCTAAATATCATCAAATTTAGGGTACATTAATCTCCATGTGCTTTGTCTTCACTTGGGTTTTAAATCATGTTAGTTGTCCCTTGTTAGCTAATGCAAATTAGAAACATATCCCTTTTTTTTCTTAGTATGAGTAGTGCCTAAAACCCCAAATCCAGATGTCCTTATAGTTTTGGTGCAATCTGGATCTGAATATTGTGGCTCAGGCTTGTCACTATTCAGTAGTTAAAAAAAATCAGTGGCAATACCCTGCCTTTCAGTTTTCCCCTTTTCTAAAATGAATTCCAGAAATATAATACAAATTTGCCTCTTTACATGGAGTTTCAGCCCAATGGGTGGCAGTGAAAAAGCAAAGAGAAGTCAAGATTTCTGCAACAGGCTCAAACTTGCCATTAATAGGTAGAAAGAAATGAAGTCTGATCTCTGAAAAGGAAGTGTCAGTCTCTGTAATGGCATCGTGGTCCTGTGCTGTAACCTAGCTAGCTCTCTACAGTAAGTGAATTCTGGCTTGGAACGTCTGGTAATAGAGATGCACCCACATGCAAGGGCTTACAGAGCTGAATGCTCAGGAATAGGAATGGCTGCACTCTTTCCTACATAAGAAAGAATAAATACATCATTGGCATTTTTATGGACTTGAACTAGAGTCCCTAGCTTCTGGTTCAAATGTTCTACAAGTGAATTTAAAATAAACCGAACTCAACTAGCTTAAACCACCTCAGCTTTTGTGTGCTAAGGTAGAGACATCCTCAGTCTGGCATGTCATTGCTTTTCTGTCCTGAGGATGACAGAAATGAAGAGGTTAGAGAGAAAGGTGCTCCCAAAATGAGTACTTTCTATAAACAACACCCTTGAAACAGTTTGCCTTTGAAATAACCTTCAGAAATTAAAAGTATCCTGCTGATGTTGCTGGGATGCACCAGTCACTTCCACTCATATCCGACCATGGAACTCAACTTCTTAAAGATTTGCATAAAATCTCCTGACATGGAAAGTATTATAATTCCTTCATCATTCAAAGTGTATGTGTAGCCCTTTGCTGCCATAAAGTGAAGGTGAGGCAGGTATTTCAGGGGCAGAGTAATGCTTCATAAATCATAAAATGCTGGCAAGTAAGACCAACAGTGAAATTTGGTTTGCGTGTGCCCTTCAAGTGTCCAAAACTTGACAAGCTCTGTTGTCACAATTGAAAAGGCAACCTTCTTCACTTCAGGACCTAGCATTACACCATGACACTGCCCTTCTTATAAAACATGCCGTCCAGGCATGTTTTTCTGAAGTCCTTCAGAAATATTGCTGAACTAAGTTTCCTGTATCTGTAAGGTAGAGGTAAGTATCCTTATTTTAGTGATGAGAAAACTGAGGATAAACTAAATCACCCTTGTAGAATACTATTTGCCTACTTGTTTAAGCAAAGTATATTTTTGCCATAGGAAAAAAAAAAACTAGTAGGGGGTTTTTTGCTATTGTTATAATTGTAATGGCAACGGGTGGTCAAAAAGGTTTTTGTGCCTGGATTGCTAAACTTCAGTAATGATTCTGAAAAGCTGAGCCAAATGCATAGTCTGCAGTCAGATTAGAAAATTTACTTCAATTCCCCTGTTCTCACTGGTAGAGCGTGCCATGCATTCTAATTCCAGGTCCATCGTTAAAAAAGGGCTGAGTTTTAGCCCAATCCTGTTCAGAATTTAGCACGCACCAGATATCCTTGACCCTTTAAAAATCACTCAGTCTTCAGAAGCCTTTGTTTCCCCTTACATCTGTCTTTCAGGATGACAAGGAATCCTGTGGGATTGGTGAGATGATGGTAACAATATGGGTGGCAATTTTCTTCTTGTTGTAATGTTCCATCATAACATGGGCTTTATTTCCTCCTTTATAAATATACACACACAGAGAGAATAAAATGGAGTCATCAAAAGGAGGAGAGACTGAATACTGGAAAATGAGTTGGAATGGCTTAAAATAAATTGATAGATACTACTGCACAGGGCCCTCAGAGTATCAGAAAAGTGAGGCATTATTACAGCATTGGTACACATCTACTTCTCTTGCTCAAACTACTCAGAAACAGCACCTGTCTCACAAAAGGATCCCTGAGAGCATGTGCCAAACTACATTTCTGTTCCAAACACTGACTACATAAAAACGACACAGGAGAGATCTGCCACTTGTGTGTATTCCACCAAATCAATTCACCTTACAGGCAAACATAAGTTTCCACCCTTTTTCATCCAACCAGCATGGCACATCTAGTGTAGCTGGAAAAAAAGAGAGCTGAATTTTGTTCTAGCACATGCATCATCAACAGAACTGTCCACAGAAGAATCCGCTCTCAGCTATTTCTGGAACAACTTTATTTATAGCAGTGGGATTTCTCTCCAGTATATCAAATGGGAAATTTGAAAACAGCAAAGATGCAT